TTTAACATGTGGTCAAGCTGATGCTGGAAGTTTCAGTCCAGTAAAGGGCGGTATTGTACCTCAAGTACCGAGTGACGCACATTGGTTGATTTACTTACTATTCAAGATTGTATACAGGTATAGAGACTATTCCTTTTTATTTACACATCATTATGTGCACGGTCTATTAGTGTTGTTATTGTTGACTGGTTCTACAAGGGTTGTTTTCTAGGTTTATAATCTTTTGCTTGTCTGTTGGTGGCCGCCGTGGGAAAAAGCATGTCCATGTCAGTCGACACATAATATTCCTATGGTTGTTCCAAGTCTGTGACTCACCAATTAAAGGGTAAGTTCACTTTTGTATGAAAATATACTATGCAATAAAGAACTTCATATGTTAATAAAAACTACATGCTGGAAAAAAAAAAAGTCTTCAGTGGAGACAAAGTGAGCTTACTTTAGACCAGTGGTTCTCAACCTGTGTAACCTCAGGACCCACATTTGTCCTTGGTCATTAAGTCGTGACCCAAGTTGCACTGCAATGGAACGCATGGCATTGCAGTACCTGGTGTTTGGGTGCAGGCAATCGGACTGTGGGCGGGAGGTGCGTTTGGGGTGTCATTCAAATTAATGGCAACACAACACACCTTTCACACCAGAATGCACAGTAAGTGCGATTGCGTAGTGCAGTGATCACATGGGACTGTGCGATTATGCACTGTACTAGTGTGAACAGGCCCTCAAACACACTGACTGACGCACACAACCACAGACACATTCTCACACAAACATACACACTCCAAAAAAAGATCCACCCAGTCTCCCTACCTTATGAGAGCTGGAGTGGATCCTCAGTTTGGGGTCCAGTGTGGGCTGCTGTGCTGTGATGGAGCTCCATACATATGTGTATTGTTTGTACAGCTCCCTTGCATTCCCTGCAGAGGTGCCAGAATGTGAGCCTAGTCCACTCCAGGCACCTCTACAGGGCACATATGGATGGAGCTCCCTTATGGCCATACTTCCAGCCCACCCATCCTCAAGCTGACACGCAGGGTCGGGCAGCATATTTTAAATAACTGCTTGGTGTGAGAACTGACGGTGCTGCGCTAGGGGGAGGCTAAAGAGTGTCTCACCTAGAAAAGTGGAAGGCATGTGGTGACTCATCAGTTGAGAACCAAGGCTTTAGATGATATTCCTGTAAGCCAAGCACAGCTTTCCGAAACCTGGCCAAATAACTTGGCGACATCAGTCAGTGACATTCACCACATGCTGCACACAATTTAGGACATGAGAATAGCTAGGTGCCCCCAGAATTTAGGGAATAAATGTTGTTCCAGCAACAGCAGCAGTAAAGGAACCAGAGTATCGGAAGGAGAGTTAAGGGAGGCAGTTCACAGGGGAGTCCTGATTGTGGTGATGAGAAGTAGGCTTATGTAGATGTTGAGTGTCTTTCTTCCCCTAGTGCTTATCTCACCAGGTAAGCAACACACACACCCCTACATGTGATTTATCAGACCAGGCCACATTCTGTTATTGCTCCGTGTTCCAATTCTGATGCTCATGTGCACATTGTATGCGATTTTGGCAGTGGACTCGGGTCAGCACAAATTTGAGCTACTGTAGTTTTTCTATTGGATTGGACTACACGGGCCAGCCTGCACTCCTTATAGGCATCAATGACCCTTGGCTGCCCACGACCCTGTTGCTGGTTCACTGGTTTTTCTTCACCACTCTTGGTAGGTCCTGACCACAGCAGACCGAAAACATCAAAGAGCTGCAGTTTTGGAGTTGCTCTAACCCAGTGATCCAGCTATCACAATTTGGCCCCTTTCAGTCACTCGAGTCCCTACGCTTGCCCAGTTTTTTCTGCTTCCAACACATCAGCTGTGTGTCAGTGGCAAGTTGAGAAGGCTGTCATCTCCCTGCACCGGTCTGCATATAGCCTGCAGTCCATGAATAATTATAGCTCCCACACATCACCACAGTGGGCTTGCACAAGCCGGACTTTCCCCCTAAGAAAATTGCAGCCATGACAGATCTGCAATATGTACTACACATGCTACAGGTGACCATACACCTTACAATTATCCTTCAATTTTATTTGTCCTGTCATCGCACCCTCGTTCAATTTCTGCACAAATAGCCCATCATGCACAGACCAATGTAGATTTTAATAATCGTTCGTCAGCAATTCGAACTGGCCACATTTTGTTGATTGACAGAACAGATTTTTGTTTGCGCATGTGCAGTGTTTATGCTGCGATTTTTGTTGTATGAAAACACCACTAATCCATCGATTTGCGTTTGTTTTCTAGTCTGTCCCTTCAACCAAATGCAGCCAGTTGTACAGTAATTGCGATTGTGCGCTTCCCAGAAACTGACCAATTATCATACAAAAAATGGATTGCTTTCATGTTTCAAGGTGTATAGGCACCTTAAGTAGCCGTTATAGTAAAGACATGAGGGAGCACGGTGCTACAACTGCGCATGCAGTCACAACTTTCATGTTTGATCCCAACAGCACAAGCATTGGTCATCACTGCCATATTCCCAACTATTCTGCATAATATGGATCATTGCATTCAAAGTGAGGGGAGTTGAACTGTGCATGCACAGGCTTGGTGGCTGTAGGAGTTTAGCAATTTGCAGACAAGATCCCACACATGCGCGCAAGATTGGTCACTCTTGCACATACTCTCGCCACTATGTTGTGAACAACATTGCCCATGTACAGGAATTCCCATCATCCTGCACATCTATTGGTTCTGTATTTGTGAAAGATTTTAATCCAATACAGGGTATGCTCTAGAACAGTGGTTCTCAACCTGTGTAACCCAAGGACCCACATTTGTCCTTGGTCATTAAGTCGTGACCCAATTCACACCACATTGTGGTAACGTGCATTCCAGTGCGGGCGATCGAACTATGGGTGGGAGGTGCGTTTCGGGTGCCATTCAAATGAATGGCAATGCAACATACCTCCCACACCTGAATGTGCGGTAGGTGCAATTGTGTGGTAAGGTAGCACACTGTACTAGTGTGAACGGCCCTCAGAAACACTGAAAAGGCACACACAACCACAGACAATCTCACCTGCACTCCAAAAAAATATTTAATTTTTGTTCTTTTTTAAAGATCCATCCAGTCTTCCTATCTTATGAGAACTGGAGTGGATCCTCAGCCTTGGGTCCAGTGTGGGCTGCTGTGCTGTAGTTCCATCCACATGAGTATTGCTTGTACAGCTCCCTTGTGTGCCCTGTAGAGGTGTTGGTAGCCAGAATGTGACGTCACTCCGCTACAGGCACCGCTACAGGACACGTGAGGGAGCTATAAGCAATGCCTTTATGGATGGAGCTCCCTCGCAACCATAACTACCTCAAGCTGACACTTGGCACCAGGCAGCATATTTTGAATGGCTGCTTGGCGTGAGAACTGACATTGCTGTGCTAGGGGGAGGAGCTAGAAAAGTGGAAGGCATGTGGTGACCCACTGAACACGGGGTCACGACCCACCAGTTGAGTACCAAGGCTCTAGAATATGGGCAAATTAATGACAACTTTGCTGCAACCGCTCGAGGAACCCACCTCTGTTTCCATAAATCTTGACACCATCTTGAAAAAGTCCAGGCGGTGAATTTATTCAAAATTTGCTTTCATAAGTAAAATTTTGACTTCCAACTGACACATCATTTGCTGGAAACCAACCAAAGTAATGCTGATTTTTGACCTGTTACTTCTTTTATAACTATCAGATATATTTGTTTTGAAAGATGAGATCGTTTAAGTACATATAGAAAGAACCCCCCCCCAAAAAAAATCTTTAAAACCATTTGCCCTAAAACCATTATAGCTTCCGTTTAATGCAGAACTAAATAAAAGGACAGGTCGGTTTATTCAAAAGAAGTTTTAATAACATACATGAGAAAATGTTATAGTTTCAGGAAATTATCTGAGCAAAAGATTTAAAAACACTTTCTTGGCTGCTATAGTTCATTTCCCAGTGTGCACCTGACTGTCTGGGAACGCCAGGGAGGCAAACTACTAGCGGTTATTTCAGGCGCCTCTCAGGGCAGAACTGCATACAGCAAAGATACTTAAACATCAGTTTTTGAGCAGGCATGTGTACTTAAACAAATGTTTGGGGGGTTATGAATGTTCTTATCATTTGTAAGAGGGATGGTCCTTTTGGCTTTGGACCCATTAGGCTAAACAGCCAAAGGACTGACGGGGGGGGAAATAATAAAAAAATGTATGTATGTAAAGTACCTACAAGCCTTTTCATCATCATCATCAGCCTCCTCCTTCCGTATCTGTTAAGCCAGTTTTCCAGGAAATGTCTTACCCCACATATTAGAGTGCACAATGAATAGCATAAAGGTCATATATACATATATGCACTAACAAGGTCGTAGCATTCTTATAAATAAATATCAGTTGTCAAGTCCGATCATTTGTACTGGAGACATGTATAATCCACATGACTGATGTCGGGCAGCTCTTCTATTGCATCAGTGAGACTCCAGCGAAAACACTATTCAATTTCCTGTGTGTGCAATAACAAAGGGTCTACGGACTAGAGCGGGGTTATCAAGAGTATATACAGCATCTAAAATGTAATAGGCTACCTATCAAAGTCCAGTGGTTCTATAAAAACACTACACAAAGTATTCTTTATTCACCCTTTGCCATGAGTCTAAGAAACATCATCTCAAGAATGACCGATACGTATTTTTAACATACATCAATCGACCTATCATTCAATCCGCTCTCTAAAAATCATGGAAAAAAAAAAAAAAAAGTGTCCCTTTTCCCACCATGCACTGCTTGGGACATCATATGACACTACTGAAAATATGAAGTGGACATGCAAGTGGCCACATTGCTAGCATACAAGTGTTCTGTCTTAGGATCCACGGATTGAACACTGAATGCTCAGCATCACAAGACATCTCATTTTTGGTTCACGATAACCCCCCCAAAAAATTGTGGTCTGATTGTTGTCATGACAGGTTCGTCTGTTGCTCCCCGTCCCTTTCTTCTAGCCAATCTGAACATGGAACCATAGTGTCAGAAATTAGCCGCTAAGAGATGGGACTAAAACTGAAAAATACAATTATGTATGATTGAAAGATTGCGGGGAGATTTTCAGTAACACTATAGAAAAGCACTTGGATTTGCACGAGGGTCTTTCTGGTTCCTGTACCGAAATGCAAGCCAAACACCGAGGATCTGAAAAAAGAAAGCAGACAGGACATCGGATAAGCAGGCAAAACCATCAACAGCTGTCTTCTACCTACACCTACCCAGCAATCTCATTTCCATCCAAGCCATTTATTAAAACATATGCAAATTGTGACAACTAGTCTGCAACGGTTTGTTTTAGCTGTTGGCGAAGACTGCCAAGTGAAAGTTAGAAGGGATAGTTGACACCAGCCCCAGTCCGTTCCGGCCCGATTGGTGTTGGAACGCACTGGATTGCTTTCTGGTCGGGTCACTTTGTTTTGGGGCGGGAGGGGGCATGGCGGTGCAATGAAGTCAATGGCACCGCAGTCACGCCCACCGGCCGCAGTGCGATTATCGACACGTTTGGCACATCAGTGCCTGCGTTCCGGTGCGGTGCAAAAAAATGCTGCATGCACTATTTTTTTCTGACCGCTCTGGCTCCTGCAGACTCTTCCTCCTGTCCATACCTCAGTACAGTACAGACATTCAGTAACACAAGCGGGAGAAGCGTCAGTGGACTACAAGTGCGGTGACATCACTGCATTTTCATTCCATTGAGAAGAATCAAAGGATCTGTGAATGGATGACATGCCTGAGTGGATGGAATCATGCACAGCCACGCCGAATTCACACAAGAAGAGACAAGCCTGTGGGAATAACCCCTGTGATTTAGGGGGAGTGGTTACAATCTGACCATGGGTGTAACATGAAACATGGTCAGACATGTAAACTTTGCCTAAAGTGCAGGATGGTCACATTAATTTCCTTAAAGGCCAAGTAGAGCTTATAAGTCTAAAATAATTAAAGACTCTTATTAAGACAAAGACAGTACATTTGAAGCCCATTCGTGTCAGCCTTGTAAACAATTTTTAGCATCAAAAGGAACATCACTTCCAATTTGAAACATTGGACTTTGTTTTCTACTTCTAGAATCTAGAACAATACATTCCAGACCCATCTGACTGTAAAATGAATTGCGACTGCGTCCTTCAAAAACACAACACTTTGCTTTGGGGCCACTATTCTCAGAGTGCTCCCTTCCTAGAGAATTTGCTAGGTACCAGTACTGCACCTGCATGCTCTTCTAGGCATAGGTACTGTTCTTGCATATTGCCATGACTGGATTTATCTGTGAATAGGAGTCTAAATGAAGGGGTATATGGGTCTCCTCTGACCATCTCGCTTCCCCTATGGCAGCTCCCACCGGGCGCTTCGGTTTTAAGGTTATTGGCTATTTGCAGAAGTAGCATGTTCACTCCTCTATAGTGTGACAATGTTTTAGGGTCAATGGACAAACCAGGATTGTTGCTGATGTACAGAATAAAAAGAGGAAATCAGTGTGCTCACACCATGTCTATAAATGCAATTTGCGCAATGTGAGAATGCTGACAGTCAGCTGTCTCTGGACAGTACAGAGACGCTTGTGCAACAGTCATGCGCTTTCAGTTTGTTCTCATTACAATTAAACTGCACAATAATTCTTTAAAGGGAGCCTAAAAATAGCCATTTCACATTTGACTTGGTTATAAATCCAGGAAGAGATATACTTGTGCATGGTTTCATAGAATGCTCTTTATATGTTAAAGAACTCCAGGCAAAACTTATTAACTCTTGCAGTGGGGCTTTCCCCGCACTGCAAGGGTTAACTGCTACTTTTTGTTTGGGTGCTAAACCCCCCCAAAAATTATACTCACCCGAATTGCGGAGCCAGCTTGTTCATAGACCAGTTCTCCTAGCCTCTTTCCCCATCCACTGAGTGGCCTAAGGTCCTGTAGATCAGCGGTTCTCAACCTGTGGGTCGCAACCCATTGTTGAGTGGGTCACCGCGTCCATTTCTGCTGCGCTGGGTGAGAGCCTCCTCAGCCTCCTCCTAGCGCAGCAGTGTCAGTCAGTGGGAGGACAGCAGGGGCTGTGAATACAAAAGTGCCGCTATACACATTCCCTGGCCGCTGCAGCGACATTTAGTGGCCGGGGAGTGTGTACAGCAGGGCTTTTCTATTCAGAGCCGCTGCTGTCCTCCTGCCTCCCATACAGTGCGTGCTCTGCAGGAGGCGGGCATCTGAGCAGTGTTGAGGCTGAGGAGGCTGCATGGAGACAGAGCAGGTAGCAGGGGCTGGGGAGGGCTTGCATTCTTGTGAGTGTGCTTCTATTTTTATTTCTAAGTCCAGTGCCTTACCAAGTCCCGAGTCCAGCGCTCTGTTGGGGGTCACCACAACTTGGCAAATGTTACCAAGGGGCCCCGGCCCTAGAAAGGTTGAGAACCACTGCTGTAAATCATCACGTTCTATACACAGTGTATAGGTGTGAGGACCCCAAAGAACATCCCACTGCTGCACCAGAGAAGCAGGGAGTTGGCTCGGCGCTTCGGGTGAGTATAACTTTTATAGCACCTAGACAAAAATGAGCAGTTAACCCTTAGGTAGCCCCACTGCAAGAGTTAATAAAAGTTTTGCCCAGCATTCTTCTTATTAGCCAGCACCACCAGTGAGGAAACCCCCTGGATCCCATAATGACAACAGACATGGAGTGGTGACTAAAAGGTTTCTGACAGATATTGGGTTTAAAAATCAAATTATGCATTTACCTCTGTGAAGCTGAAGAAGAGTCCCACACCTCCGAGGATTTTCAAGGCTTCACCAGCATGATTCAACATTTTATCGCCACATGTTTCACACTGTGAATGCTTCATCTTACACTCCTGAATGCGAGAGAAAAACAAAGGCCATTGATCAGCACAAAATGTGCCCATAAGCCAATCAAAGCATAACAGACACGTGACTAATGAGTCAGAAAACCTCCAGGACGACTCATCCGCTCTTATAATATAGTCTCTTCATCGGAACATCAGATCAGTTGCCAATGTCAGGCAAGAAATAACAAAATGTGGTGATACTCCAAAGTAAACCTCCAGGAAAAACTGCAAAATACACAAATATGGGACCTGCCTTACCTGCAAATTGATTGGCACCTTTGCGACTCCCCTGTGTCACACTACAGAGCCGGAAGAAGACACCAAAGTTTTGTGTAATGAAAAGCAGGTAAAACACCTTCCTTGGATTTCATCTGTGTATTTAGCCGTTTGCCTGGAGTTCAGCTTTAACAATCAAGGGTGCAGCATATAATAATGTGCCAATTCAACCAGGTGGTGAAGCCACTTGGCAATATGTATTCTGTGTATAATAATGGCAAAAATATTTACTAAAACATCTGACAATAATGCGTTACACATCACAACACGTACCGCTTCACAGGAAGAAAATTCTGCCTTGAAATCTTTGCTATCTGTGGTGTTTAATAGACCGCAGCAATTCAAGTTTTTCTCCATCTCTTTTCGAGTGACATTACCAAGGTGGATCCATGTGTTGTTCAGGAAGTGCTCCTGGAATAATCAGAATACTTTTCAATACAGATCTATATCCTGCAAAAAAAAAGCTATGCATACAACAAACAGGACAAAATGTACACAGCAACCAGGTAAGCCAGGGCACCAAAAACTTCTAGTGCTTTACTTTCCGTACTTCTTTCTTTTTCTATTGTTGTGCAGGGAGGGAATTCCAGGCCTACTAAAATATCTGGGGTCTCCATGACCTAACTGACTTGTTTCCAAATTATACGACATAAGAAACAATGCTGGCACACAATGCTGCAGCAACGACTGCAAGAGTTTAACCACTTGCCATCCGGCTGCTGTAATTAAACGGCCAGACAGCCGACTACTAACGTAGCGTGGGAATTTATAAACAACCTTTCTGACTCCCGTGCGCAGGAAAGTTGATACATACAAGTATCCGGGCGGCTCTATCGGTTGTATGGTGTGGAAAGGGTGCGCTCCTGCAACCCCCCCAGCTATCTCGGGCTTCGCTGTCCTCAAGCATGGGGGTCTCTGTGGCTGTATCAGAGTGAGATCAGCAAACTTCCACTGGCTGATCTCCCCTCTGATCACTGGACCCGGAAGTGATGTGTATTATACCACTTCCGGTTTCAGTCTGTCATTTCTCCAGCTGCTGTAGCCGAAGAAGCAAATCTCTGCGTCATCAGATTCTTTGGGGTCCCTAGGGGTTTAATAGATCCCTGATGTCTCCATAAATTAGGACCTTATAGTGTATATGTGCCATCACATAGGAGGCTTGTTAGCCCCCTATGTGAGAGCAAAAAAGTGAAGTGTTAAAAAAAGCAAGTTTAAAAAAAGTTACATAGATATATAAAAATAAAAAAGTTTTTAAAGTCCCATGCTTCCACACAGGTCAAGGGCGCCTCGTCGGAGTGCGAGCAATAATTCTAGGGCCATCACTCACCGTTAACACTAAATTGATGAGCAGTAAAAGCTTTTAAAGCATTGCCTATGGCCAATTATGATTATGGTAGTCTTTTGTGATTTTGCGGGCGCACGCAATTTTAAGGCTTGACATGTTTGGTGTCTATTTACGTGACCCCGTCTTTTATGTTTTACCAAAAATTTGGCTAATAAAATATTTCCTAACATAACGTAGGGAAAACAGTTTGTTTTCAAAATGTTCGGTACTTTCTTCTTATTAGTATAAACCCCCCCCAGTGATTAAATACCACCAAAAGAAAGCTCTATCTGTCCCCCCCAAAAATTGTATAAAATTCGATTTAGTTCAGCGTTGTATGACTGAATAAATGTCAAAGTACTGCAGCGCTGGTCTTCAAGTGGTTAAAAGGAGAATGTGTAAGAACTTAGCCAATGTGTTGATAGCAGCCAAGTGCTTCACGGCATTCAGATCTAAGCTCCCACACCAGCACAAGCTGCACACTGTTTATGTATAGAGAACAGGGAAGTCACAGACAGACTGATAAAGGCAAACAGCATTCCTGATTTCCAGCACTCCTTGTGATTATCTGTCTGTCCCTGTGGTGGTAGAATGAGAGTGCCTCAGGCAGTAGTTCACAGTCACTTCCAGATTGTTTTTAAATCTGTGTAAGAAAATAATGATCTATGCAATGGGAATTACAAAAGTACCAACATCTGAGAGGACATGGCCCTACTTCCACAAGACTGAATGGCAGAGAGGTACACGTCACCATTCTTTTGTAAGGATAGAATTCTGAATGGGCCAGTTCCTGCCATGTAACCTATTCTGTGGTCAGAACCCTTTATCAGGACAGATTTGTTGTTTACAACTAGATTTTGAAGTTTTCAGAAAAAAAGTAAAATGGTAAGCAACCATTTTTATGCTGAATGAGAATATGTAATAAATATAAAATAGGTCTTCTCCCCATTGGGCTGCAGAAGTGGATATTCTCTTTTGGTTACCTGAAAAGTGTTTAAACAACAACATGTGCCCAATTTTATTCTGGGTATAGGTCCACTCCGATTATGGAACTTTTTCTGATTTTAGTTGCCCTAGTTAAAAATCTGGAATAACCTCCTTCTAACCCTTTAAATGCATTTTCTTGGAATGCGCTTATTCTATTAAGAGCACACCAACATACGACATAAGACAAGATCTTACTTGTTGCGATCTGTTCATAGCCAAACAGGAGCAAGATACCACCAGTTGGAAAATAAAGATGAGTATTAACACCACCATGTACTGGATTCGAGTTAAAGATGAATACCATTGAAAGCTATTATGAAGAAAAACTATTACAAAAATGACAGGAGAGCGTGTCATCAGAAACAAAACTCACTCAGGATCTGCGCACCACAATACCCTATATTCATCAGGAATACATACGAGAAGGTATTGGATCAGAGCTGCTTACCTTATTACTCTCCAGCTTGTGTCATAAAACCATATGGCTGTGCACCAAGATTTATTTTCTCCAAACTCCAGCAAAAACCTATTTTGTTTTGGACAGGGTGGGGGAAGCATGATAATCCCTGTCAGGTTTAATTGCTGTCGGTGCCCGAACTGGGGGTTTCCATCACTTCCTGTCAGAAGAGGAAGTGACAGAAAATCTCTTGCTATAATGTTTTTATATATTGTCCATGACTTTCTGTTCTGGTGATGCCCTTTTAGCTTTATTCCCCTCCCGCTTTGTTTTCCCCATACAGGCACCACAGGGATAGGAAGTGAGAAAAATAATCTCCACAATGGGGGGTCACAAACAGAAATTAAAACCTGACATCAATGTTTTCTGATGCTCTATCCAGAACTAAAATACATTTGGCTGGAATTAAGCTGTAAAGCAGAACTCTAAGCAAACAACTGATTACAGTAAACTGTGTTCCAGAAAAAAGTGTCCAGCCACTTTTGGAATTCACACACAGTGGCCAGACAGAAGACACCAATTTGTTTTGTTTCAGCTCCCAGTGTTGCCTGTTCCCGTACTGGTCATTTAGCCAGCAATGTTACATAGTTAGGTTGAAAGACACAAGTCCATCGAGTTCAACCTATAGAGATATATATTTTTTTTTTAAAGGAAAAAAATCCTAAACAGAGCGCTATGCCCAGTTACCCCCCTTGTTGATCCAGAGGAAGGCAAAAAAAACACCCCTATAAAGCATGGTTCAATTTGCTCCAACAGGGGAAAAATAAATTCCTTCCTTATCCCATAAGACAATCGGATATTCCCTGGATCAACAATCTCTGATGCTTAATATACCCCTAAGAACTCGACATCCAGTAATATTCTATGCATTAAGTGCATTACTGGCAGCCAGGTGAGACAAGCTGTGCAGCAAGATCAAGGCATTTCAGATCACAGGACCCAATGAACCTACACACAAACCTTTTGATTGATAAAATTGTATTTGGCTATTGCTGGAGTTTGACTTTAACTTTCACATGCACACCCTTATTACAAAAACACCACACACAATGAATAGCACATAAGGATACAATGAAGAGCATCACTTGATGGTGACTAACTGCTCCAATTAAGCCAACAATAGCAATAAGGAGTAGGAAAACGCCAACTGCGATGACTCCCCCAATAATCTCGATGCTGGAGACGATTCCAAAGCCTTTTCCCCATGCCGCCACACCAATCAGCAGGAGGCCAACCAGCTGAAAGAAGAAGAGAGAAAAGTTATAGCAATGTTACAACAAGAGAAAAAAAGCAGATTAAATCGGTGATGACGTTTTAGTCAAAAACTGAATTTCCAGCTGCGCTGAGTTTCACATGAAAAGGTTTTGTTTGACCTGCAGGTCAAATGCACCTCAAAAGGAAATGCAGCTTCCAAAGAAATCCAGAGCAATGCAAGGCAGGTCAAATAGCTTCTGAACTGCCATGTGTACTAATGGAACGCATGTTAGTACTCAAATGTTTCATTTATTTTGAAGCTCCGCGTGTATTGTAGAACAAACCCCTGTGAACAAGAAAAGTCAACCGTAAAATCACAGCACAGAAAAAAAAAATGTACAAGTGTGGTTTAGTCCTCCTCCGAAAAAGAGGGCCTCGATATTCCTGGACCCCCTGGGGCACAAGGCCCATGACAGGGGAAAGGCACTCCTCTGGTCTACCTAGTGGGTAAACCTGGCTGACCCTAATCCTTTAGGGACCAGCTGAAGCCGGTCGTTCAAGTACTATAGGGGCTCTCGCAAAGAGAGAGACCCCTGAGTGGGTGAAGGAAAAAGACCCATTAAGGCCATAGATCCTCCCCTCCACATCAGGATAGGCCCCCAAAAGCCCAGCATAAATAAGTGCCTGCCATGTGCTGTACATGGCAGGCCTACAAAAAAAATTGCTCCAAAACTAGCCAGAAGACCTGCCTAGGAGGCATGTGAAAGAAAAGCAAAAAATGATGGTGACCTAGTGCCACACTTGTGGGGTCTCAGATGCACTGTTTCTTTGGCACCCCTGGGGCAGATAACCCAGAGCTTCTTGTGCTTCCAGCCAGACAAGGGCAGCCCCACTCCTACCAGAAGGCATTATCACTGGAAGGATTTCTGATTTCTGCCTACAATCAGGGACAAGCCTGTTGCACCAACCCAGAAGCAACCTAGGAGGAAAAGGAAACCCGCCACCCCCCCAAGGTACCTACCCATAACTCCAGGGGATATTAGCCTTCCATCCCCAGATCCAAAGACAGCACCGTTCTCCCCCAGAGCCCCAGCGGTTACTAGACCGCTGCCCACCGGTTCTAGGGTGACACTGTTCTGCCTACGGAAGCTCCAGGGAATACTATACTTTTCTAATGGCACCCCAGTCACGCCATGCGGATCGCACGGTCTACCGCCGCGATTCCACCCGTGCTTCCAAACCCGATCGCATCTAAAACAGCCATGCGTCATGTATCGTGACCAGAAGGTACTTGTACTTTTTTTTTCTGCGATTGCCGCGCTGATGTCACCCCATGGAAATCAATGGGGCTGCGCGGCAATCACGCTTCCTGCATCGTGCAGGACCACACGACGGTGTAGTGCAGGTGTGAACCTAGCCTAAAATGCAATACTAGAATAATAAGAGAAATTCCAAGCGGCAGCCATACAGAACTGGAGCTAGAGGAACAGTCTTTGAGAGCCTGAGCTTTGCACCTACGATCCACTGATCATGGGTTGCAAATGCTTTGCAGGCTCCAATGCAAAAAAATGATTAAATGCGCATTGTTTTCTTTTATCAATGTGTATGCGCAGTAATTATTTTATTTCTAGAAGATGGACTATGCCATTAGAGATCCCATTTACAAACTTTGAAAGGAGATTTGCAAACGTGCGCGTCTCAAAACGAAACCTACTTTTCTTGCAAATATTAAAAATGGCGACATGGAACCTGTTGCTTTATTTTGTATGGGCAAAGCACAGGTGCAGTTTAAAGCAGCTCTGGTCGAACCACAGGGGACAGTTATGGAAAAACTGGAGGAAAGAAATCTGTAAAAAAAAAAGTGAAGCAGTTGCCCATAGCAACACTCCCTATCAATGACAAGACAAGAACGTATTGGTGGCTGTGGGCACCCGTTTCATTTGCATCCAGATATTATAGAACAGCCTTAAGCTGGCCATACACCTTACAACCATCGCACGACTTTCGTTGTGCGATGGTTGTAAGGGTATTCAAATTTCGTACGATTTGCCCATCTTGGACAGGCAGATCGTACTTGCGATAATCACTGCTTCCGATGATTGCAGTGCTGAGCGGGCAGTGTGCGCTTGTGCACAAAGGCCCGTGCGGCATTCGTGTCCTGAGCACGCCACTAACCCGCCGAAAATTGTATGTACATTTTCGGCAGGTTTTCAAGCGTGCTCGGAAGACAAATGTCGTGCGACCGTACAGTAGAGGAGATACAGTCCGTGTATCCATCACACTCAGAGCCGCTGCTCCAAACATGGAAGGTGGGTGCAGCAGGCGTCAGCGGATGGCTTCTGACAAAATATAGTAAAGTATATAAGGTTGGACATATATGGTTGGATAAGTAAAGGTTGGACACCGGCGCTCCAAAGCAAGTTCAGTACGTGTTCATTAACGTACTAGTTGCAAGTAGAACACTATACAAACGTTTCAGGGTCTCACAGGATCCCCTTCATCGGGCAAACAAGTCATGACTTGTTTGCCCGATGAAGGGGATGACTTGTTTGCCCGATGAAGGGGATCCTGTGAGACCCTGAAAGTTGTATAGTGTTCTCCTTGCAACTAGTACGTTAATAAACACGTACTGAACTTGCTTTGGAGTGCCGGTGTCCAACCTTTACGTACAGTAGAAGAGGTCGCACGCTGCCCATACACCTGCTGACTATCGTACGATCGCGGGATCACCCACAACTACCGTATGATAATCGGCAGGTGTATGGGCACCTGTATAGTCAGCAAGTGGTGGATGAGATCATATTGCAGATTCTCTACCAGATGCAACAGATCTGTTGCTTGGTGTAATATGGTAAAAATCTTTGTCACAGCAGCCCAAGGCAAATATGATGAGGGACCTCGGCCCGATCACACCTGTGCATTTTCCAGTACTGTGACGTACCTCTAACACCATATGGAAAGCATACGGGAGAGATTATTCTTTCTAACAGAAGTAGCCTACGTCACTACTCTACAGGCGAAGCTTAGTGAGGCTCAAACACACACTTCCAGCCTTACAGGCCGATATAAAATACACAAATTAATGTAGCCCTGTATTATTATATCCTGTCATTGGTTTCTGTGCAAGTACGGGAATTTGACCTAATATCAGCATGTTGCAGTCCCTGTAAAGCAGAGCTGAGACTGGGGAGGGAGGAGCAGTACAAGAAGCCAGGAAGGTGTGCAGAAATGCAAGGAACGTGCTGATGGGAGGAGAGAACAGAGAGCGAACAACGAAAGGGCATTTAGACCTGCAAGTGTTACTAGGCCCTCATTCACACCTGCAATGTAGCATGCAGGCAATCATCTGTGCGAGTTCCAGCGTGGTGGGTGATGATGGGGGATTTGTGGGACAGGGTGGCGTGATATGCCGTTTCAGCACATTACACTGGTTACTTTTTTTTTTTCTAACCTTGATCGAGCGTATACAAAGTGTACACTCCATTCAGTGGCTGCACTGCAGTGACCTCTGGTGCCATCCAATGGCAGCTTGTCTGCATTTTCCTGCGCTGCACATCACACCAACATTGTGGTGTACATGTGACACATATTGGGGCAAACAATTGTTTTCTATGTGCCCTAGTGGTGACCCGTGCAGAAAACCACAGGTCACTGCATATAATGTGAACATAGCCTTGAGGTTCTAGTAGTTTGGTCAGTCTAACTCAGGGATGGCAAAACCCCGGCCCTCCAGCTGTGGTGAAACAACAAATCCCATGAAGCATCTCTCTCGGGGAGTCATGTCTGTGGCTGTGAGAATCTTGCAAAGCCTCATGGGATACGTAGTTCCACCACAGCTGGAGGGCCGCAGTTTGGCCATCCCTGGTCTAACTCATGGACAGGAAACCTTGGCTCGCCAGCTCTGGTGAAACTACAAGTCCCATAAGGCACTGCTAGAGTGACAGACACAGACATGACTCCCAAAGGCAGATGCATGGTGGGATTCATAGTTATACCACAGCTGGAGTGCAGAGTCACCCTACCCCTGGTCTAACTGAAAACAGCGCAGTGTATATGTGGCCAAGACTGTTTTTTAGTCCAGTGAAAATGGTTTAAAACTTTGCTGGTGTTTACTGCTGCCTCTGCCCTCACGTGCGAGATTTCCACTTCCTCTCCAGATGACACATTTCAGACAGAATGGGTGTATTATGAGTAGATGTAAGCTGGAAGTGACATTTACTTTGCTACAAAGTGCTTTGCATCACACAATTGTTGTGGATTTGGCTTTAATTAAATGCTTGCTTTATTTTATTGTATTTATTTTCATCCTTTGCAGCATCAGTGCTGCTGTCCTGGGGCTGTTCTTTGCAGCCACTTCCTGTTTATGTGCACTGGCTTCAGCTATTGCTGCATGGCATATGTCAGGACGGATTTCTTGCAGATGACAACTTGAAACCAGAGTAAGGCCTCATTCACACTACCACGCGTATATGCGCGTATTATACCATATGCAGCATATGCAAATAAATGCGTATGCATACACATAGCTGCATATGGAGCCGTATATTTGCGTAGCGTAAACATGCACAAAAACAGAATGGAACCAAGATGTGTCCAGGCAGCGTATTTCTGTGTATTTAATGCTCATATACAGTTCATTAAATTTCTATTACGAATGATGCATTCTGGGATTGCATATAGTGCACGCATATGCGCACATATAAATACGCCCATGTACGCAATATACAATTTTGCTCTTGCGTTGTGTGTGAATGAGGCCTAAAGCGAGTTGAAACTGCCACATCAGAAACCAATGTAATAGGGCGACAACACAAGATAACAGTTGGGTTATGTTGTCATCCTTTTGGGCTTGTTAACACAATGTCCGGATTCTGTCCTGACCAGATCTGTTCGCTCCTGCACTTAAAATGCATCCCAATGTGTTTTATGGGCTACAGTTCTCACGTGCGCAGTCCGTTCAGGTCACGACAGAAAAAATACTGCATGTCACATTTTGTCCGGTCAGGAAACGCACGAACGGGTCAAAAACGCAACGTAAAGGGAC